TGAGAAAGTCCTGGGGAACAACCCCCAAGTTTTAGATGGTGATTCCCTCTGCAGAGGGGACTAGGACTGGGGAGAGGGATGGGAAATAAAGAAGGACCTTCCATTTCTACTCCATTTACTCTCTCTCTTTTTTTTTAATAGATACCAAAAGTTTACTTCTAGATCCCATAGAAAATTAATGGAGTTTGCAGAGTTTTGTTTGTTGCTGTTGTCTTTTTTTAATATACTAGACATAAACAGGAAAATCCATTCCCGGAGGACTCAAGAATAAAAATATTTCCCACTATGAAAATTAAATTAGATTCTATTCATGCTTAACCATTTATAGTCCTTCCTGCCAAAAAAAGTATTATTAAAACACTCTGGGTAGTTAAACTGTGATTGTAAGACTGTTTCAGAGCTTCTGATAGGCCTACTCCATTTACTTTCATTTGAAGTTTCTCACTGAATTGTATAATTTAAAAAAAACAAAAAATAAATTTTAATAAGTGCTATTGGTGAATGGTGGGAAGGGGAACAAAATGAGTTGACTGTAGTGTTTTCCCTCCAGCCTTCAAAGTGTCCTCTGTCATCCTCATCTTTGAGAAGAATAGTAAGTTGGTTTGTCCATCCAATGTAAGTCCACTGGGTTCACTTAATCAAGATTCAGAGGCTTTGGAGAGACAGGAAGTGGTTATCTGTCATCTTGATCATGCCTCCTTTTCTGGGTTAAGAGACAAACCAAACCATCTCTACCCTAAGAAAATACTCCCATTGGGTCTTTTCCCCCCTGCCCATTTCTTGGCCCTGAAAATTCAGATTTCACCCTCCATTCCGTGCCAACCCTTATCCTGCACCAGCACCAACACCCCACCCCCAGCACCCTTGCACTGCTGCCTAGTTTTGAATCTCTTTATGTAACTCCAGTCGAAGGTAGTGACTAATCTTGGTGGGGACTGAGGTAGACTTTTCGCAATTCCCTGTGCCACAGACATAGGCTCATGGTCTTCTGGTGCTAAAAGAACCTTCTAGAGATATTTTGGTTCAGACACCTTGACTTCAGACAGTTCACACCCAAAGAAACATGTTCCAGATGTTATCAGTCCTCTAGTAAATCACCAAAGAATTCTGAACTTAACAGAGCGATACTCAGTACAGTGAGGCTCAGAAATGGAAAAGGCAGCACAATTGGGTGAAGAGAGCCTCAGACAGGACGCCTGCAGACCTGGGTTCTGACTCAGCCTCTTCTGCTTAAGTCTACATGGACTTTCTAAGCATCAATTCCTTCATCTGTAGAATTAGTCCCTTCCATATATCTTGGGCTTTTTTCATTCACTTACTACACAATAAATACTCAGACCCCCACAGGCTGCCCAAGGCTGGGGGAAATAAGGGACTGTGGGCAATTACATGGGCAGGCGACAAGGCTGAGAGCAGAAGGGTAAGCCCAGGACCCATCATGTGCAGTGGATCTCTGATGAGTAAAAGTTGGTTCTTGGGCTGCAGCATCTGGAGAGATGCCGAGATGGGAGCAGCGGGCCAGGCAGAGATGTGCCGGCCCAAGAGGTGGTAATTACTGAAACTGAATGAATTGAGCTTGGGATGGAATCTCGGAACAGCAGCCAAAAAATAACTAACCTTTTGGGAGTTGATGCCTGTAGGATCTGAGGATATAATGCTACTGGGCCCTAAAAGACTTCAGACCTTTCTTTGGTATTTACAGACAGTTGTCCAGGCCAGGATATAAGGAAAAGCAACTATGAAGCAAGCTGAGAAGTCCAGGCTCCTTGTTGCATTAAATCAGCTGTGGTCAAGTGAAGACAGCGTCGGGCTGAGAAGCTGGGAGGCCTGGCCTCTGAGCTAACACTGTACCTGTTAGCTGTGTGACGCTGGGCAGGTCAGTTCCTCTCTGTGGCCCCCAGTTTTCTCATCTATGAAATGGAAATCATAACAGGCACTTCAGATGATTCTTCTGAGGGTTAAATGAATTGAAATACAGAATTGGTGAGCTGACAAGCCCAATGCAGAAGATGCTAAAATTCCATTGGGCTTTGGGTAGGAGTGTTGCTGAGTCCAAACCCGTTCTGCTCGCCGCTCGACAGGCCAATAAATCGGGAGACGAGGTGTTGGGGCAAGGAATAGTGACTTCATTTGGAAAGCCGAAAGCAGACCGAGAGGATGGCAGACTAGTGCCTTGGAGAACCATCCTGCTCTAGTCAGAATACAGGCTCCTTTTACACAAAAAACAAGGGATGGGTGTGGTTGGTTGTTGGAAACTTCTGCCTGCAGGCATTCTTTGTCCTTGCAGCCATTCATGTGGGTCAGACCATGGTGTCCCTGTAAACCTCCAATAAAACAAAGGTTATTCTGTATTTTGCAACTTGCCATCTCCACATAAGTGCAGAAGTGCTAACATCCTTAAAGGTCAGAGCCCCGAGAATAGGCTCTCCTGTGTATTTCAGGCTAAAGGCAACAAAAGGTTTCACAAAAGGTGCTGAGCCAGCAAGACTAAGCCTAGAAAGTAGGGCGCAGTGGTTAAAACTAAAGGAAAAGATCCAACGTGGAGTCAGATTCACCCGCCTCTATTACAGGAATTGCTGTATTTCTGGCATTTGTGGCCTCTCCAATAAGGCCCAAAGTAGGAATTTACTGCCCACAAACCCCAGCCTTCCCCAGCCAGCGTTATGCCCTCTGTACAACCTTGGCCCTCACTTCCCTTGAGTGAGCTTGTGAAGGACTCAGACCTGTAGAAGCTGCTGCCCTGCCCCACAGTGGACGCTGGGAGGGAGCATGATTAACCTCTTGGCTCCCCAGACACTTCAGCATCTTTTGTCTGTTAGCCAAGAGGCAACTAATTGACAAACTTCACCAACTTCTCCAGCTCGGCAGGGCCTCGGGAGGCACACTCACCCAGCAACATTTCTAACAAAGTTTCCCACTGAGACAGCCAGGGCCAGGATGGGAATGAGGTCCTTGCAAGTTCCACAAACAGAATCCTCTAATTAGCTCCCCAATGAGAGTTCACGACCATGTGGCCTAGGGGCTGAAGGGAGACGGGGGACTTGCTGATTGCCTTCTGCATCTCTGCTAATAAGGCCAGAGGGAAGGGACTCCCAGAAAAGATTTGCTTTCTTTTTGGCCCTTTAGTGAGAAAGAAACCAGACCTCAGAGAGGAGGCTGGAGGAGGCCAATTAATGATGGATGGATTCGATGGTGTTGTTAACAAGACTCATTAGGAAAGTTGTAGGTAGGGGGAAAGTGTGTTCAAAACGAGACTGTCTGGGCATGAGCCTCAGCCTCCTTGCAAACACTGGCCTCCATTTCTTCACTTTTTGTCTGACTTTTGGCATTGTGTTATTCCTCTCTTCTTCATACCCCAAAGCTCTCCCATTCTTCCCTCCTCCTCCCATCACAGCCTGGTTTTTCTCAATCCCATATTAAATAAATGTGCCTGCTTCGTTGTTTGCAATGGTTATATCATTGTATAACTGCATCGGGATTTCCTTAATCAACCCTATCTTGACCCTTTATACTGTTTCCAGTTTTCCCCTATTAAATGCAAAGCTTTTATATCTCTTTGCATAGTTATTTCCTTGAATGGACTATAAGCATGTACATGTTTTCAACACTTTCATGAATCTTGCTAAATTATCAACTAGACGGATTTTACCATTTGACTTTCTGCCAACTCAGTGTGAAAGGGCCACTTTCCTAACCTTAACCAACTCTAGGTATTGTGTTCCCACGACTGTTCCCAGTAACTTGAAGAATCCTTTTGTCAAATAGTTAATGTGTTTGTACCCTTGTGCACTTGTTTCTGCTTCTGAACTTTATATTCTGGTACACTATTCTGTATTTGTACCACATTGCAATAGCTGTAGCTTTAGAATCTGTAACCACGTCTCATGTGAATGGAAACCACATTCTCACATCACATGCTAATTACTCTCTTTCCTCCTAAATGTACTTGATTAGTTTCACATGTTTCCTCTTCCAGTTTAACTGTGCAATCACTTTTCTTATTGCAATTGTCCACCATTGGGATTTTAATTAGAATGTGTTGAGTTTATAGATAATTTGGGGATGATTGGCAGCTCTACAATATTGGATCTTTCCAGGAAGGGGCATGGTATGGCCTGTGCACTTATTCAACTGTTATTTCTAAAGGAGAATTTTGAAGGTTTTAAAAAATGAGAGTTTCCACATTTCTGTTGTTTTTTTCTAAATATATAATAATTTTTATACTATTATGAAGAGGATTTTTTTATGAAGTGGTTATTTTGATATGAGATATGAATATTTTAGGACTCAATATATATTGTTAAACTATTTACTAACAGAAAGGTGACAGCTTAGTCTGCATTTAAAAATGATCCTGTCTATTTGACCATATCATCACAAATATTAATTATTTTTAATCATTTCTAATTTGAGAAGCAAAAAATGAAATAAAAGAGCATTTTATTTTATTAAGTAGTATACTCAGTACAAGAAATAAATTTATTAATGGTATCCAAGGGAAAGAGAAATGCAGTTTGTATTCACTGAAAAGCCATTCTGCACTCCACAGTAAGTGAAATGTAAATAAATGCATAAAGACTTATCAATATGAATATATATCCAAAGTATTAGACTTTCTGGGAGACCAGACTCAGTTTAGCTGTGTTCATACTTGAAATGTCCTCTTAACTCTTCCTCCTCCTAGACTAGACGGAGTTCTCCCAAGATCAAGAATTTATGTATTATTTCTTAAAACTTCCCCAGAACCCAGCACACGGCAGCCAACAATAAATATTTATAAGTGAACACATGCTATATTCCTCCTCACTCCTACCCTAACCCCCCAACTCACCTCCTCCTCAGAAAAGCCAGTTTGAACTCCACCCCTTTGATTGTGTTCTGCATCCTATGTGAAGATAATGTAAAAAATTATTGAAAGAAATCTCAGTTAGAGTTAGGAAACCAGACAGGGGAACTCTCATGCACTGAGCTGATGGCAGAGCTCAACAGAAAGAGGAAAGACGCCTCTTTTTTCCTGGCAAGGACTCAGCCAATGAAAAGCACAGACTCTTTGTTTATTACAGCCCTCCTAAGTTCCCTTCTCCCCTCTGTGAAAGCCTTCTCCTTCCCTTGTCCTGAGGGGCTTTTAGCACATGGCGTGCCATAGTTGCAGATCCCGAATTGCAATTCTCTGTTGATTCCAAATAAACCTGTCTTAGCTGGAGAAATATCTGGGAATCTATTTGTTTCAAGTGAACCATAATTATACAAACAACTAGAGATTGACCCTGGGTTAAACTACAGATATGTTTTCTGACATCTGTGTCTACTTGCATTGCTCTTTTCATCTCCAAACCCCAACTGATCATTTAGGTCCCAGAAAGCAAAGCTCATGCTTCCTTATATGAAAATTTAATGCTAAGCCAGTAAGAATGTAACTTATTGGCCAAAATAGGCTCACTTTACCTTACCCAATCATTTACTTTGGAGAATGCTAAGGTATTAATATGCTGCTTCTTGCTTTCATTACTCCATGCATGACAGATAAAAATTAATAGAAAACATGGGTCTTTTCTGCCTTCCAATCCCATGTTATGAGAAAAACTAAGACACAAACTCAACAATTTGACTTCTAGGGAGACAAAGGGGATAAAGAAAGAGTTTGGAAAGTGTACATCAGGGTTGTCAGCACTGTATTGGACACCATAGTGTTCATTTGGTCAAAGTTTGCTCAGTCTGTATTGCCCACCTCCCCTTCTTAACAGTAGTCTAATTTTCATCATGACTCACCCACCCTGATGCAGGGCATACGCTTTGGCAGAAAATAAGTCCGTACTCACCCACCCCCTTGCCTTTTGATTGGTTCAGGGAACCAAGCCCCAACCAGCACTTGAAACTCTCTCCTGTCACCAATGGCAGTCTATCTAATCAAAGGAGAGGTGTGTGATCTGACTTTGTTCAGGGACCTTGTCTCATCCTAATGCATGATTGAAAATATATCTTCGTGTTTTTCACCTTATATTGTTTTGTTTTCCCATTCAACAATACGTAGGTGATCTTGACATTTCAGTACATACACAGCTTGATTTTTGGCTGCTTGGTGTTGCCCCTGATTTTAGTAACTTGTTGTATAACTGAGCCAGCTATGGCCTCTGTGTATTGGCCCCTGGGTGGTTTATGTCTTCACTTTAGGCTGAGACCTGTCAGCTCAAAAGCCTCACACATCAAACTCAAATTTTTACACACCCAAATATTTTTAAAAATAGCCCCAAGAGGAGATTTTCTGCCATTTTAAGCCTGCTAACTTTGCAAACCAGGCAAAACCTCATCTCACCCAATAGCTGCCAAGCGTACCTAAGATGGGCTTGTGGTTGTAAGACCCAAGCCACCGCTGCTCCTCAGAGCTCTCTGACCTAGAAACTCCTTACTGTGCTGCTAAGAAACATTACCTAGACAAAAGTCTCTTCTTGAATTCCTCTCTCCCTTGGGAGTTCTCCCTTCTCCTTCTGGGTAGCAATCCCAGGGCTGGTGCAGTAGCCTCTGACCAGTTTCTGGCTGTAAGAGTTGACCCTGCTTGCAAACCTGTCAAAGCTTCACACAATCAAGCTCGTACGTGCTATTGCCACCTTGTGGTTATATCTTTTTTTTTTCTTGATGAATCCCCAAATCCCTCAAATAACGTACATAACCACATTCTGATTCCCCTTGGATATCTCATGGATTTCTAGTTCATGGGTCTTGGATGAGGCTGCACCCCAGGCCAACCAGTGTCTTTTTCATCCAAGGTTATAGTTTAAGGGAAGTTCATGTAACCCAGGTTGGTCCAATCAGGGTGAATCCCAGACCTCATGCTGAGCCACAAAGAGTGAAAAAATTCCTTGTCTCCCAAGAGACTGTATGGGATGAGCTGCTCCAGCATCCATCTTGCCACCATGAGGAGAAAGCTTGTCAGTGGTCCAGGGGACTAAAGTCTCCATGACTCAATTTCTCTTTGTCTCTTAGAACTGCCTTTCTCTTTTTTGGCCTCATCCTCAAATATGCTGAAGAAAAATGGTCTACTCATTCTTCACAAGAAGAGTGAAAAGTCCATAAAAGTCAGGCAAGGGAGGATGGAATTGAGGAGACAGGTAGAAGGGAGATATTGGAAGGATGGAAA